TATTTCACTTTGACGTAGATGTTGATGGTTGGCCAGAATCCACCCATGACTTTTTGCGTTTGGGATTATTAAAATAGATCCGCTTTTTATCGCCAGTCACAATGCACCACAAAAAACTCTTTTTTTTCTGTTTGGCGAGCAAAAAAGTAGAGATGTTTATGCGATTCGCAATGGCATTTTCGGTTAATTCGTGTGGTACCCATTTTCGTTCCTCTTGAATCTTTCCCATTGCATGTAGACGTTGGAAATCCAGCCATCGGAGTAACATTTAATGCTGCAGACAATTCTTGAAGCTGAGTTTTTGTCCAATAATGCTTGCAATTCGATGTCTTCAAACTTTTTCGGTTGACCTGAGCGTTGTTTATCATTCACATCATAATTACCATTCTTAAATCATTGAAATCATTTTTGGCATATTTTTTCTGATGGAACACAATTGCCATAAGCTTTGACAAGCAATTTATGAGTTGTAGCTGCAGTTTTTTTCAAATCAAAGTAATGAAGCAGCACATGTCGAAAAAAACAACTTATCACGTTCCGTGTTTAATAACAAAAAAAGTAGCATTGTTCGCTTAAATGAATCTTTTTGCACTGAATTTATTGACAAATAAATGCAGCCTAACCTCTAAAATGCAGCCAACTTCAAATGTCAAAGTAAATTACACTTACAACTAGCATCATCTAAATATGAACGGCCGAAACTAAATTTAATACTTAATATTATATATACAGGGTGTCTGTTACATAAGGTAGGAGCCTCATTGGGGGTGTAGAATGAGTCAAGGGAAACAAAATGTCTTATACCATTTTGTAATTTTCGCAATAGTTAACAAAATATTAATTATTAAAAATGGCCGAATATTGATCTTCTATAATTTTTTTCTCAAAACTATTAATTTTACAAAAAAACTATAAGAGATAAAAATTGTTTATTTTCTTCTCATAGAACTCTAAAAATTTTTTCAGAATTTTGTATCAACTTTTTAGTACTGCATTTTCTTATTTTTATTATCATGAGAAAATACGGTATTAAAAAATTCTAAATAAATTCTCAGAACTTTATGAGAAGAAAATAAACAATTTTTGTCTCTTATAGTTTTTCTGTAAAGTTGATAATATTTAAAAAAAAGATTATTAAAGATTAATATTCGGCCATTTTTAGTAATTAATATCTTGTTAACTGTTGTGAAAATTGCAAAATGGTATAAAACTTTTTTGTTTCCTTTGACCCATTCTACGCCTCCAATGCGGCTCTGACCTTACTTACAGACACTCTGTATATATACATATATTCCGAGCAAATATAATTAAAAACAAAAAAAGAAGTAAAATAATGTTTACAATTGAAATAACCGCGGCAATATGGCGGCATGACGTCATTCGCTCATTTCACTCACTGACGGGGAGAAACACGCGGGTCATTCAATTTCTCCGAGTTCTCGTCATCACACACACATTCTCTCAAACAGAACCAAATACCATGACATCAAAATGGCTTCAAAATGATTATTATGAGTCACTTAATTTCCAGTCAGTCACGATTTATTTCGACGTCATTCTAACATCTCTGACGTTATATTATCATGATCCGTCGTTCTGTCTCTGCTCGAGTCTGCGCGACGTGACGCAACGTTACGAAACGGCGCGTCGCGATTACGTCACAGTGCGTCACGGCGCTTTGCCGGGGTGCTGTGGCCTTTAGGCTTTTAGCGTATCAAAGCCCATGCGAAGGCAATAGTAGGGATCGAGGGTAGAATCAGTTTGGCGCGGACAATGCGAGAACGCCGCGGCACTCGAACGGTTGCCGTCGTCGCCGCTGTCGATCACAGGAAGTCAGTTTCGTAGATCGCGGCCTCCCATGGTGGCAATCACCACGTGTCACGCCGCCGCCGCGACGGCCCTCAGGCCCCTCAGGGCCGTCATCCTGGGCGCGCCGGCATCTGGCAAGGGCACCGTCTCCTTCAGAATCGTTCAGCAGTTCGGCGTCGCGCACATCTCCAGCGGCGACAAGCTGCGTTTTCACGTGTCTGCCGGCACTGGTACGTCGTCGTCGCCGTCGTCGTCAACGGTGGCCTTTGTCCTGAATGAATTTTAAATATTTGTATATAATGTAAACTTTACGTCATATTGCTTTCAACTGTTTCATTGAAAAGCTTTACGTTGTAAGGCTTCCAATAGTTCCTCATTCCTTTTCGTTTTATTATTGATATATGTGATAAGATATATACACAGTGAATTTGTGTAAAATTTTCCAAGCAGAATAACAAAGTCACCATGACGTCAAAATGACATTAAAAGTAATTTTTCAATCATCTATGATTGACGTTATCGTGACTCATTGTTCCATTTGGGAAATTTCATTTTTTTTTTATTTTGCATTAATTGGAATTTTATCGTTAACCTAGTTTCTATTGTCAATATTATCGTTAATTTCAATATGTGTTTGATTTCGAAAATATAAATTGTTGTTATTTTCACTCTCGCATCGTTATATAATTCAAAAGATATTCGATTAGCGAATATCAATTATCTAATTTTGAAAACATGTCAGAGTGCTTATCCATTTCAATAAGATATATTTACTCGCGTTTAATTAATCTTATCTTCAATACCATCGCACACACATTATCGAAAGAGTTTTAATTCCGTCAATATTCTACATCTATCATACTCGATCAATTCCGTGTAAACTTCGATAACACGTACATATAAATTGAAAACTAATATCGATAGATATTATTTTTCCTGTCCGTCTTTGATTACATTTTTCCTGTTTTATTAAAATTAATAGATTGTAATGCATTTAAAATATCAGTAATATTAATATATATTTTATATATAATTGTAAAAAATTATATATAATATAATTTTATATAATTGTATAAACAAACATATTTTATATAATTATATATATA